TAAGTTTTGCATGCTGAGTGGGCTCACAGGCGGGAAAGCAAATGCGGCGCCTACCACAGCCCAGAGGTCAGGGGCAAACCGAATTATTGTGATTGCTTTTGCGTCTTGGCGTGGTGTTTTTCTCTTTTGTTTTTTGGGTGCCATCGTTTTTGGTTGGCGTGCCGCTCCAATGGGGGATGCCGCATGCACCGCTGAGAGCCTCGAGCAAACGCCGTTGGCGTCTCTCTTTTGTTGGGTTGCCGTCCTGGGCGCATGCGCCTGTTCCGTCTTGGTCGGGCTGCACGCACTGACCGGGCAGCCTGAGACTACGGCTGCGCTGGCGTCGCCCTCGCTTGTGAACGGAGCGAAGCAGCAGGAAAGGGGGCTGCCGCTATTATTTCGCAGGGTTTATTTTTAGTCGTTTTTATTTATTTTGTATTGTTTTTTTTTTAAAATATTGCGCCCCACTCCTGCTGCAGTGTGCTGAGGGAAGTAGGCGGCGCTGGGGTTTTTGTGGGGGCCGTGATGGGAGGTCCTGCCCGGCATGCGCACTGCATGTTGCTGCTGGCGGGGTTTGAAGGGGCTGGGCGGGGGAGACGGTAAACGAGGTGCTTATGAATTTGTTTATTATTATTTTTGATTTCTGCGGGAGGCGTCACAAACTGCGGATGCTCCGTGCGGGTGCGTGTGGGTGTTTCTTCGGGCAGCGAGTCTGTGATCTTGCAGTCCATGCGTTTGTCGGTCCGGCCTTCGTCATGGTTTCTCGCTCTTCTTTATGCGGTGACCAACTGTGGGCCCGAGAAGTGCTTTTTTTTTGGGACTTTGCTTTTATTTTGGTGTGTTTGCTTCTTCCTCACATCTTTTTGTCCCCAACATAAGAGAAAGCAAAAAAAAAGGTCAAACGCTACTCGCTATTTTGTGTGGTTTGAGGATACCACAGTCACCGCTCACACACAACACACAAAACCGTCGCGTCCTGAGCTGATCCACGACAAGGAGGGAAGGAAAAGAATGAGTGAGCAGCGACAATCCAACATGTGCCGTCATCTGGTTTCTTTTTCGGTGCTGCTGCTCCTCTGCCTGTTGCTGATATGCTGCAGCAGTACGGCTGTGTACGGTGAGGAGGGAAATAAACCAAAGGAAGAGCAGCTGCCAAAGGGTATCAATCTTTTTATGCCGCATCAAACGATTGTGGAAACGCAAGGTCGAAGTCAAACGAGGGATTATTTTGCCTTCCCTTCCCTTGCCAGTGCTGGTGGAGTGTTGGTTACTTTTGCCGAGAGTCACAGCGACCTCCGAGTCTCCGGTGAGGAATATGCTTCAATGTATTACGCTGATGTTGTGGCGGGGTACGTTGACTCTGCGGAGAGCTGGTCGTCTTTTGTTGATGAGTTCCGTGAAGACGAATGGAAGGCGTACAGCATCTTTAACATAACCACGCAAGGGGACCACAGCGGCATTGTGATACACCTGTTAAAACCCACAACAATTGCAAAGGGTAACAAGGTTTTTCTACTTGTGGGGGACTATTATCAGAAGTATGATCCTTCATCGAAGAAGCACATTAAATCCTCAAAGGATCTTGTTTTGGTCGTGGGTGAGGCCACACAAGATAAAGTCATTCAATGGGGCAAACCCACCTCGATTTTATCACAGATTGAACCATATGCTAAACAACTTGACCTGGAGCAGTTTATTGGTGGTGGTGGCTCAGGCGTTGTGATGGAGGATGGCACGCTTGTGTTTCCTGTGACGGTGAAGAGTAGAAAAGAAAACGAAACTGTCTCCATGATTGTTTATTCGAAGGATGACGGCAAAAATTGGGTGCTTCCACAGGGGACGCTCCTCAGGTGGTGCACTGACCCCCTCATCGTTGAGTGGGAGCAGGGGCAGCTTGTCATGGTTGCCAAATGTGATTTGCTCTCCAATGTGTTCGAGTCGAGGGACATGGGGGCAACGTGGAGGGAGGCTGTCAGGATACTCACACGTGTTCAGCCCAGGTTGTTACCAGACGCTTCTCAGAAACCTGAAGGAGTG